TGAGAAATTATTTCTGATTTCATTTTTTCCAGATCCTCTTTTGTTGCCAGTTCAGGGAGTCCAGGTGGTTGAGTATCAGATTGTTCTGTCTCGTTGTCCTTTGGGTTGCCTTAGGTGATCTGGAAGTCTGGTTTTGAGACTTGTTTATGTGTCTACTCATTTCAACAGATGCATCCTTCTGTGCCTTTGTTGAGGCAACTTTTTGCTCACCTAGTGGTCTTTAATTCTCAGCAACCCAGTGAGCAGCTTTTCTCTTCTGCTCACCACTGCACCAATTCCTGGGTTCAGAATGGTTGCCTTGTGGATCCCTAAGGTGACCTGTTGTCTGGGTGGGCTTCTGGCTGGGGCCTGTGCACACTTAGGATGGTATCTAGGCATGCCACTGGCTAGGGCCTGCCCCCTATGTAGCTGCTCTTTGGGAGGGCCTTTGGCTGGAGGCTGCGTACCGCAGTCCCTGGTATCTGAGCAGCCTTCTGGCTAGGGTCTCCGTCCACTTACCAATGGTATGGGGTAGGCCTCTGGCTGATGTTTATGCACCTATGTGGCTCTTTCCAGGCGGGCGTTTGGCTTGGGCCTGTTTGCCCCAGCTGCTATGGTCGGGGTGGGGCCCTGCCTGGATCTGCCTGTAGCCATGCAGCTTGGGTCCACACTGCTGCTCGCAGTGCCTAGTGTGTCTTTTTGCATACCTTTCTATTGTAATCTGTCCTCATCAATGTCAACATAACAACTGCTCATGTTGAGGTGGTCCTAGCATTGGCACCATAACCCAGTGATATCTACACACTGATCAGCTCTATTTGTTTTCTCTTTCTCTAACAGTCTACCATGTCCTTCTGATGGGCAGTCTAGAGTTTGATCACTGCTTGCTGGAGGTCTGTGTGTCTCCTGTTTGCAACTATGCTTCTTTGCTTATTGGTGCCCAATGTGTGAATGCTGTTTCATCTTTTCATATATGCATGCAGACAGATATAAATTAATGTGTACTTTCTTAATGGCAATTTAGTGGTTAAATATTTTGCAATACATTTTATTTTCAAAATTGTTGATGAGATTTAACAACAACAATGTAAGTACTGTGGACTCTGCAAGTTCATGAGGGTTATGTTTCTAGAGCACCCACTCATTATGAAAAACCATGAATTTCAGATGTGGTCAGAAAAATGCCTATAAATGCCTATTTTTAGTCTAAGCCCTAAATATGCAATGTCTCCTGCCGTTATGTAATTTAATTTACTAAAATACTGCATTAATAAAGCCTTAGAAGGTGCATGTTAGGGATATTAGGGGTTTAAGAACAAAAACACTGAGAGCACTGGAGTCAGTAACGTGGAATACAACAGCCTCTTATGATGTGGGAATGCTGGTACATCTGCCAGAGATGGGTTAGAGGGGAGCAGCCTGTCAGCAACAAGGAAAACTGATTGGCTACTTGCAAACCTCCTCCCCCCTCAAAAAAAAAATTGCAGACCAATCTGCAACTTTGCAGATTATACACTATCCTGGGAATATTCAGAAAGTTTCATCACTGGGCCTTGGGCAATGGATGAGAGTATCTAGGTGATTGAAACCCTACCTGACTCAAACCTCTCTTGCCCCATAGACGACCACTCTCCCACTGTGGTGACTCTTCCAAAGTTTACCACATGTCATTTTCTATGAATAGTGTTTAATTTCCTCCCTTGGAATTTTCAATTAGTGATTATTCTAGAAATTTCCAAGAGAAATATTTTCATTTTGTTTGTTTGTTGTTGTTTTTCCATCTCATTATCATTAGTACTGATATGTCAATCAGGGGCAAAGTGCTTTCTCATCCATTCCATTGGTCATGTGGTTCAGGATTTTTCAAGTTTACTTGAAAAGAATCACATCCATCTCCAGAAATAACAGCACAGTGTTTTCTCTAGACAGTGGAAAGAAGTCAGTGGTCTGCAGATTTTGGTAAACTCCAAAGTAAAGGAAATGAATGTAGAGTGTATTAATTTATTCTCCATTTTGTATAAATCTCCCCCCTTATTGTGTTATTCCATACTTTCATTTTTCTTTAATGATTTTGTCAAAAAAGATTTAGTTCTTGTTTTCTTTCCTTTCTTTTTTTGTTTTTTGGTACTTGGGACCTTGCGCCTGTGTGGTGGCAGGCAGTGGCACCACTGAGCCAAATCCCTGGCCTGGGTTCTTGTTTGCTATTTAGTTTTTTCTCTTGAGTTAGATATGTTGCAGTCATTTTTGGAGATTTGTTGTGTGCATTGATGTTGTACTCCCAATATAAAATTTTCTTCTTGTCTTGTTTATTTCCCATGATCTTTGTATATTTAAATTTATCCTTCTAATTCTGATGGTTAGTTGGTTTTCTTCTGAGGAAACACTTTTTTCACATCTAAAAGTTATTTCACTATAAATTCTCAAGGCATTCAAATTTATCTTTCCCATTTCAGTATGAATCTTAATTATTGTACATAGAAGGGTGTACAGTCCAGGTCTGCAAGTACATACCTGTTTCTTCTTGCACATAAATGAAACAGATTGTGATTTCCTCCAGAGATACATAGCATCAGCTCTATCATAAATCGGTATTCACTATATATGTGGATCTATTGAAGACTGTCTTTCTTTCCTGAGGTCCATTTGTGATCCTCTCTACTAATAGTACAGTCTCATGAAAGGTGGAATTTGAATGTCTTTCATGTATATTATATAACCTTCTTGCTTAAAAGGTATTGAATGTTGTTAGATTTTTATTATAGTGTACAGCTATAAACTTTTAACAAATCAAATGTGTTGTTGTGGTTTTTATGTAGATCTTCCTCCAAAGCCTTATGCAGTCTTTTTTCAGAGGTGGCTGAATCTAGAGTGTGTGATGCTGGGGTTAAGGGCGTGTAACTACTAAACCACTACATGTGAGTGATTGGTTTGGCACCGCCCTAATCCCGGCAGTCTGGATGGGATAAAAGGGGCAGAAAGATACTGTTAAGGTCTTTTGTTGCTTTTGCTGTCTTCCGTGACATGAACTGTTGCCCCTCTGCCACCCTGCCTTGGAGCTAGGTGAAACCTCTGTGACTGTAAACCAAATAAACCTTTCCCCCTTTCACTTTGAGTGTCAGGTATTTTGTCTCAGCAACGAGAGAAAAGTAACTAACACAGGTGTCCTTTGTGATAATTTTTTTGAAGTTATCCTTTTTTTTTTTTTTGGGTACCGGGGATCGAACTCGGGTCCTTGTGCTTTTGCAGCAGGTGGTGAAACCACTGAGCCAAATCCCGGGCCCAAAGAAGCTTTTTGTTTTTTTGTGTTTTTTTTGGTATCAGGGATAAAACTTGGGACTTTGCGCTTGCAAGGCAGGCAGAGGAACCACTGAGCTAAATCCCCGGCCTTGAAGTTATCCTTTTTGAAGGGGAAGTTTGAGCAGCGTCTCACTTTGTATTTCAGACTGACCTTGAATTTACGTGTACCTAAGGTGAGCCTTGAAATCCATGGCCATCCTCCTGCATTTCCCTCCAGAGTACTGGGATTACACTCATGCACCGCCACACCTGGCTAAAGTTTTCATTTGGTGCTTAATTATTTTGTGATATATTGGTTTTCAATGCATATAATACATTTTACTCATCTTTTTCCCCTCATTACTCTTCCATATCCGCCTAGAATTTTTTATATCTTAGTACAAAGTGACCATTTGGTGACACTGAGCTATTTCCCTATTTTCAGTGTTCATAGACTTGTTCCAATAAAACTTTTCCCATTAACATTGTATTATTCATATACCTTACTTGATGTTCAATTGTTTTTTTATGAAACCAAATTCAAGTTCAAAATGCTAAGTATAATCAGAAGAATTCAGTGCCATAAATAATAAGATTTGAAAAGAGTTATTACCTGTGGTCTATCAAAACCACTCATTAGATATTCATCGGCCCCAGTGTTTTGTGGATGGTGATCTTGTAGGCTACCGCTATGAGTTCGGCTTTAGAGAGTGCACAGGTTCCCTTGAAGTGACCCAGCAAAACAACCAGTGCTCCTCTTCTGCTGTTACTTTAGCAGTAAGTGGCAATCTAGCACCAGAATTGCTGTCTGAAAAAATGTGCATACACATGGATTTGATGACCAAGGCACGGAGTTAATATTTGAAGGATTCAGCTCCCCCCCAGCCACTCAGCTTTTTTATTTCATCTTCTTTTTTTGAGAAAAAAGAACTGCACTCACCATGCAGTTCAGGCTGGCCTTGAACTCACTGTGTAGCCCACACTAGTCTCAAACTCATGGTAATCCTCCTGCCTCAGACTCCTCGATGCTGGGATTACAGATATGCACTACTGGAAGCTGAGCAAACTCCCAATCACCTGACCAAGGGTTCAGCAGCAGGATTAAAAAAAGACAAATTCTTAGGGGGCCCAGGGTGGTCAAAGCTCTCATCAGGCTAAGCCACTGTCTCCTGGAGCTTGCCACTATTGAACATGCAGATTCCAGAAGGGGGAAGGGGCAGTGCAGGGAACAGTGAGGTAGAGAGCACTGATGGGAGCAGGGTCCTAGCAACAAGAGAATGAAACATTCTACCAAGAACAGCTCATAGATAAATGGGGAATTTGTTTCTTCCCGTGGGTTAATTTTGTCTCTGTAAGAGTTTTCTGTATGAGTCACGCTGCCCTTAGCTTCAGTATTGTCTTGCCATCCAAGACATCAGAGTGTCACGGATCATTGAGACCTCCGCTGTAGCCAGTGGCGTGGGGAGCTGTTCATTTCCCACACATGAACTGCTGGCTCTTCAGGCAACCATTGTGGGCTAATAGGTACACTCAGACTTTTAATATGAAAGCCAATTTATGAATTTATAGCTTGCTCAGGGTGGGTCTCCATCAGAGCACTACCACACCTGGCTCTCAATTCAACTTTTTTATGAGAGGGATTGATATATCCCAGGCTGTGAGTCTTAACCTTCCTTCAAGAAACATATGTGTGATCATTTAGGAAGCAGTGACCTTTGAAGATGTGGCTGTGAATTTCACCATGGAGGAGTGGACTTTGCTGAATCCATCCCAGAAGAAGCTCTACAGAGATGTGATGAGGGAGACTTTTAGGAACCTGGCTGCTGTAGGTAAGGATGACACCACTTTCTCATT